GCCATTGCTGGTTGTTACATGTTGTTGTTGTTGTTGTTGTCGTTGTTGTTATTGTTGTTGTTGTTGTTGTTGCTGCTGTGGTTGTTGGTGGTGGCATTGGTGTTGGTGTTGCTGGTGTCTTTGTTTAAGCTTCTGCCATTTCCTTTGGACCTTACCTTTTGTAGGGGTGCATTCATGCATCTTCCTGATTTTTAGTGGCAAGTGTCTTGTTACATAGCGTTTTTACAGGATGCGTGCAAAATGTCAAAGTGTGCGATCTGTTTTTTCTTCAGGTGTTTTCAACCATGTGCCAGTGGTGGATAAGGACACTCCCATGTGTAGGGGTGTTTTTAAGCCAATTGTCAAAAGTTTGTGGTAGGTTTTTTCCGAGACGTTCTCTTAGAAAGGTTTCAGTGTTGTTTTTGATGTTTTTGACGTTTTTGTTGTTTTGGTTGTTTCTGTTTTTGTAGTTGCATTGACTGTTGTGGATGTCGTGTTGTTTGTGGTTGTTGTGGGTGATTTTGTTTGTTTTTGTTGTCGTCCTTGTTGTTGTGCTGTCATCGTCGTTGTTGGTTGTTGTCGTTGACATTGTCGTGGTGGTAGTAGTGGTGGTGGTGGTGGTCGGCTTCTGCCAGTACATGTGGACAGTACCTTTCATATTTCTCAATCCCCTCCTCACCAATCCCCCCGAGCTCGGCTCATTAGGCAAAGTTTGCTTATTTCCCCACCTGCCAGGTGAGGGTTGTTAGATTTTATGTCAGTTGCCTCCTCCTGCTCCTCCTCCTCCTCCTCCGCCTCCTCCTGCCTCGTCCTCCTCTCCTCCTCCTCCTCGTCCTCCTTGTCATCCTTGTCGTCCTTGTCGTCCTCGTCGTCCTCGTCGTCCTTGCTCAACTGCGACCCGCGATCCACAGTGTTCTCTGCCGGACCTCAACCACGACCATCCATGCCCAGTGTTCCCTGCCGGACCTCAACCACGACCATCCACGCCCAGTGTTCCCTGCCGGACCTCAACCACGACCATCCACGCCCAGTGTTCCCTGCCGGACCTCAACCGCGAGTATCCCCGCCCAGTGTTCCCTGCCGGACCTCAACCACGACCATCCACGCCCAGTGTTCCCTGCCGGACCTCAACCGCGAGTATCCACGTCAAAAGATATGCCACATAGAGTGCCAGAAGATATGCCAGATAGAATGTTAGAAGATCTGCCAGATAGAATGCCAGAAGGTATGCCAGATAGAATGCCAGATAGAATGACAGCTAGAATGCCAGAAGATATGCCAGATAAAGTGCCAGAATGTTTGCCAGATAGAATGCCAGCAGATTTGCCAGATAGTATGCCAGAAGATATGCTAGATAGAATGCCAGGTGGAATGCCAGAAGATTTGCCAGATAATATGCCAGAAGATATGCCAGATAGAATGCCAGATGAAGATATGCCCAGCCAAGATATGCCAGAACATATGCCAGAAGATATGCCAGAACATCTGCCAGAAGATATGCCAGAACATCTGCCAGAAGATATGCCAGGTAGAATGCCAGAAGATATGCCAGATAGAATGCCAGATCGAATGCCAGAAGATATGTCAGATAGAATGCCAGAAGATTTGCCAGTAACAAAATGTATAAATGTCATGGTGGGGATCACACGAAGGAAAGTAATTTGCCACTATTTCCCCAATCTTGAATCAAGTCTTATTGTTCGGCCAAAATGTGCAAATTTTGGCATGTTGTGGTGGGAAAAGTATGGGCTGCATGATTTTAATTTTCATTCCACCATATTTCCGTGCTATTTCCCCAAAAAATCCAATTTTAACTCCATAATTCAATTCCATGTTATATATTTCACCAAAACTATGAAAATAACACTTTTTCCCAATAAAAATTGCGATGTTTATTTTAATACCACCTCAATCCCAGGATATTTC